CCTTCAAACCTTAGGTCAGTCATACTTGAGGGAAAAAATGGGGCTTTCTGACCTCCACGGTTGGGTCAGATCTTCCTATTATTTGCTTAAGTGTATCTACTTTTGGAGCATTTAGCAAAGTTTCACTTTCATATTTATCTTTCTGACTCTGAACTTTTGGAGGCTGGATACGGGGTCCAATATTGTTCACCATCATATCCCAGCACTTGCTAGGGTACCTGGATACTTGTTGAATGAAGTAAAAAGGAACACTCCAAGATTTCTGTACGATAAAATTCACAAAGTACAATCTCAGAGTTAAAACACCTAGGATTTGACTTGTTCCATAGTTTAAAAAATAGTTTTACTGAGATATAATTCACATACCTACAGTTCATCCACTTAAAAGTCTATTCAATTTTTTTGTATATTCGCAAAGTTGTGCAAACATTATTATAATCTAATTTTAATGATTTTAAAACAATCTTTTAAAGATTTTAGATCGATCGATAGATGATAGATAGATAGATGATAGATAGATAGATAGATAGATAGATAGATAGATAGATAGATGATAGATAGATGATAGCAAGCATCGGGGGGTGGGTGGAGAGTAAGAAGGAGAGACAAAATTCAGGCAGCCTCCCTGCTGATCATGGAGCCCAACACAAGGCTCGATCCCAGGGCCCTGAGATCATGACCTGAGCCGAAATCAAGAATTGGGCGCTCAAACAACTGAGCCACCCAGACCCCCATAAACAATTTTTTAAATTGTTTTAAAGTTTTTAAATTTTTTAAAGTTTTTATTTAAGTAATCTCCGTACCCTACATAGGGGTTGAACTCACAACCCCAAGATCAAGATTTGCTTGCTCTTTTGGCTGATCTGGCCAAGAATCTAATTTTGGAACATTTTTGTTCTTCCAAAGAAAATCTGTGCCCATTAACTGTCCCTCCTCATCGCCTTTGGACCAGTCCTGAGTAACCAGTAACCTGTTTTCTGTCTCCAGAGGTCTGTCTTCTGGACATTCCATAGGAATAAAATCTCACAGGGGGGTCAGAGCCAGTTAAGCATCTGCCTTTGGCTCAGGTCGTGATCCCAGGGTCCTGGGATTGAGCCCCACATTAGGCTCCCTGCTCAGCAAGAAGTCTGCTTTTCCCTCTCTCTCTCCCCTCCCCCCTGCTTGTGCGCGCTCTCTCTTTCTCTCTCTCTCTCAAATAAATACATAATACCTTAAATTAAGAAAAGAAATATGTGGTCTTTTGTGAATGGCTTCTTTTTTTTTAGAAAAAAATTTATTCATAGACACAGAGAGAGAGGTAGAGACACAGGCAGGGGGAGAAGCAGGTTCCATGCAGGGAGCCCAACATGGGACTCGATCCCGGGCCTCCAGGATCACACCCCAGGCTGCAGGCGGCGCCAAATCGCTGCACCACTGGGGCTGCCCATGAGTGGCTTCTTTCACTTAGCATCATGTTCTCAAGATTTACTCATGGGCACCTGGCTGGCTAAGTAAGTAGAGCTTGGGACTCTTGAACTTGAGGTTGTGAGTTTGAGCCCCACGTTGAGTATAGAGTTTACTAAATAAATTAGAAAAAGAAAAAAAGATGTACTTATATTGTAGTATTAGTACTTCGTTCCTTTTTATGGCTAAATAACATTCCACGTGTGGATATACTGCATTTTGTTTCTCCATTCATCACTTGGTGGACATTTGGGTTATTTCTGCTTTGGGGCTAATGTGAATAACGCTGCCTTGAACATTAGTGTATACTTTTTGTGTGGACTTGTGTTTTCATTTCTCTTCAGTTATATGCCTAGGAGCAGAATTGCCGGGCCATATGTTCCCTTTTTGAGGAATTGCCAAAAAACATTGTACTATTTTATGTTCTCACCAGCAAAGTGTGAGCACTCCAGCTTCTCCACATGTCACCAACTCTTATGATTGTCTTTTTGATTATAGCTGTCCTGGAGCCTGTGAAGTAGTATCTTCTTATGGTTTTGATTTGCATTTCCCTAATGACTACCAGTGCTGAGTGTCTTTTCTTGTGCTTAGTGGCCATTTGTATATCTTCTTTGGAGAAATATCTATTCAAGTCCCTCACCCATCTTTATTTTGGATTATTTACCTTTTTGTTCAATTTTAAGAACTCCTTGTGTATTCTAAATAGAAGCGCTTTATCAGATATATGATTTGGAAATAGTTTCTCCCATTCTGTAGGCTGTCTTTTCACTTTGAAAGTGTCATTTTTTCAGTACCAAATTTTTAAATTTGGATAAAATCCATTTCATCTACTTTTTCTTTTGATATTTATGCTTTCGGTGTCATATTTAAAATACTATTGACTAATGCAAAGTTGTGAAGATTTACTTCTCTGTTTTCTCCTAATAGTTTTATGATTTTTAGGCCTTCTATCTGGGTTTATGATCTGAATGATTGGACGAGTCCCTTCCAGTGCAGTGATCATGCTTTTTTTTTTTCTAAGATTTATTTATTTATTTTTTATAGACATAGAGAGAGAGAGAGAGGCAGAGACACAGGAGGAGGGAGAAGCAGGCTCCATGCCCGGAGCCTGACGTGGGACTCGATCCCGGGACTCCAGGATCGCGCCCTGGGCCAAAGGCAGGTGCCAAACTGCTAAGCCATCCAGGGATCCCCCTGATCATGCTTTTCCCCAGTGATTTTTGTTCAACCTTAGAGTGAAGAGTCCACCCCTCCCCCATCCTTTTCTACTCACGTACAAATTAACTCACCCAAGTCACTCACGTTGTGATTCCTGAGGTGTTAGGGTCTGGATGTGTACCTAATAGGTACAGTATTGTTGGGGTGCCTGGGTGGCTCAGTCTGTTAAGCATCCCACTATTGATTTTGGTTCAGGTCATGATCTCAGGGTGGTGAGATGGAGCTCTGTGCTGTGCATGGAGTCTCCTTGAGCTTCTCTCTCACCCTCTCCCTCTGCCTCTCTTTCAAAAAAAATTAGAGTTATTTGTTGAATGTATTCATTGGTCAGCTGCTATGCATTTGCATGGTACTGGAGCCAGAAAGATGAGTAAAAATGTAAGATTTGTCCCTAAGAAGCAAACTGGCTGGAGATTCATTTAGAAGTATTTATCCAGGGCAGCCCCGGTGGCGCAGCGGTTTAGCGCCGCCTGCAGCCCAGGGTGTGATCCTGGAGACCCAGGATCGAGTCCCACATCGGGCTCCCCGCATGGAGCCTGCTTCTCCCTCTGCCTGTGTCTCTGCCTCTCTCTTCGCTCTCTCTGAATGAATAAATAAATAAATCTTTAAAAAAAATAGAAGTATTTATCCAGCACCTCAAAGTGTCCAGCACCAAGCAAGTGATAAAGAAATCTCTCTTTAGGGGATCCCTGGGTGGCGCAGCAGTTTAGTGCCTGCCTTTGGCCCAGGGCGCGATCCTGGAGACCCGGGATCGAATCCCACGTCGGGCTCCCTGCATGGAGCCTGCTTCTCCCTCTGCCTATGTCTCTGCCTCTGTGTGTGTGTGTGTGTGTGTGTGTGACTATCGTAAATAATTAAAAAAAAAAGATTAAAAAAAAAAAGAAATCCCTCTTTACTTTTATTTGCTGAATGGTGGTGATGAGTACTGAGGAGGGCACTAAATCCACGCCAGGGGTGGGGAGTGGAGGCAAGGCAAGCTCTCCTAGAGGAGCTGATCATGGATGGTCTCCGGGCCGGGTCCAGCTGTCTGAGGAAGGAGGTGGACCACGCCGACCTTCTGGAGACCGGGCCTGAGGAGCAGATTGCACACGTGAGCAGTGAGCGCCAGGCTGTGTGGTGGACACAGCGCTCCTCCCACCCGGAAGGTAGGGCGCAGGAAGCAAGTTCCAGGCTGTCTGGGGCCATCCCAGGCAGGAGGCGCGCTTCAGCCACTTTACTGCACCTTCAACAATGAGATTTCAGATGCACAGAGTCCGAGCCGCCCCCACCATGTTCTGTCAGCCACAAGATGCACGTGTCCATTGTGGGAAGTCCACAGTTACCCAGGAGGTTTGGGCCGCTTTTCACCTGAGAATCACAAGAAGTAAGTGCTTTTTGCGTACACAGCGAGAAATGCCATGTCAGCACTCAGGTGGCATGGGTGCCGTGTGGCAGGTCCCATAGGTCCCATTCTCCCTCGAGAGGCTGTTCTCTGAGAGGTGAACGCAGCTAGAGGCAGGTGAAGGGAGAAAGTGAAAGCGATCATCCAGTTGACTGACCTTCACCTCCCCCACTGCCCATTGGTGCTGGGTGCGGTGGGCCCCAGCTCTCCCGAGTGCCAGCCTTACGCGATTGCTGGAAAGCAATTGCTCCCTTCTCTGGCTTGTGTTCTTCTGACTTAAGGCAGTAGTGACTCACAGGGGTCCCTGGGTGGCTCAGTCGGGTAACTGTCCGACTCTTGGTTTTGACTCAGGTCGCGATCTCAGGGTCCTGGGATCGATCCCCACGCCGGGCTGCCCGCCCACTGGAGGGTCTGCTTCTCTCTCTCCCCGCACCCCCTGCTTGTGTGCACACCCACTCTCTCTCAAATAAATCAAATATTAAAAAAAAAAAAACAGTGGTGACTCGTGGATATTAAAGTCACTGCCTGTTCTCATAGCTGGGAGATCAGTTGGGACAAAGTAGGAATTCTTCAGGGAGAGGTTGGGAAATAATTTGATCTATTTTGGTCACTAGATGTTTTGAGAAAACTATGCTAGGAATTCCGGTTTTCACAGTCAAAAAAAGCTCGCTAAATTTTCAAAGTGAGAGCTACATGAGTCCGCTCTCGCCTCTATTGATAACGTCAGGGTTATCACTGATGGCTGGGCATCCGGAGGGTCTGCTCTACTCTCGGACATCAGAGGGAAAGACCTAGATTCCTCCTGAATCCAGAACCTCTGTCCCTGGTCACTTACATGGAGCATGAGAGCCTGAGCTCCTGGGCTCAGCGGTGGGGCTGGCTGACGCCTGGGGGTCTGATGGATTTGGTCTTGAAAGGCAGTGGGACAGCATGGGCTCCGGGCAGCAGGTGCCCAACTCACCCAAGGGGCTGGCGAGTCTCAGATGGCGGGAGGCCGAGCAAAGCGTCCAGGACATCATGCAGCTGTGCTTCCTGTGCTGAATGCCACCAGAGGGCCCGGGCCATGTGTCTGGATTTGGCCCTCTGGTGGGAGTTGGGGTGGTGGCCAGCGGTAGAGAGGTGAGCGCAGCAGTTGCAGGGACAAGCCAGTTAGCAGGTGAGGCTCCAGGGGGCAGGAAGCTCGTCTGACCACCCCCCGCCCCCAGCCAAGCCAGGCCCTGCAGCCTCTACCTCTGGGTGTCACTTACCCTTTCCTTGCACTACAGACAGAACTGCTGTCCCCGAGGCCCCTGTTCCCCCAGCTGTGACCCCAGGGCTTCTCTGTGGGCACCTCTGCTCTTGTCCCAGTCCTTTCTCAACTGTGCAGCGAGAGTTCTTTACAAACTAACTGGGGGTCACTGTGAAGGTGTGGTCCCCACTGCCCTCACCTGGAAGAGCAGCTCCCCAGCTCGAGCGGGAGCCACCGAGCACTAAGGCTGCCTGCTCTCCCTGACGTCACCTCCCAGACCCTGCCCATTGGAACCAACCCCTCCTTGACCTTCATTATGACTTCTGGACTAGGCTCTACAAGTCCCGGGGCAATGGGAGCCCCGCCTGTTCCCTCCGGGTCCCCAGCACAGTGCAGGGAACACATGAGTGGAGTGTTTGCTTTCTAGGCTGTTGGGAGAATGTTTTCGGGTGAAAAAAGGGCACATGAGAAACATGGATGAGGGAAGCCACGGAAAAGCAGAGGGACACCCCATCCTCGTGGGCAGGGTGGACATCCATCAGGGGAAGCCACGGAGGCACTGTAGGGAAAGGGTGCCACTGACCTCTAACCCCAGACCATCACCTCAGGGGGCTCACTTCCCTTTTTTCCACCTAATGAATCTGGGAACAAAAGCCACTCACCTGTTAGCGTTGGACTTCTAGAAATGATGACGTGTTATTTCCATCAAATTTGACAAAAGCAACTATCCTGCCTAGGGACAGGGGGACATGAAACACTCACACCGGCCAAGCAAGATGCCACATAGGCCTGGCAGGTGCACAGTTCAGTTCCCAGCTGCACACATAAGCCTCTGAGCTTCCAGAAGTCACAAGTTCGACTCATTCCAGAGTTGCTTTTCGTACTAAGGCCAATTCTGATACACTGAATAGGAGGCAAAATTCTCGAAGCTTAGACCCTGCTTGGGCCTGTGCTGGCTGAGGCTGACTCTGGGCCTGGTTCCCCGAGCTCTAGGGAGCCTACGGCTTTCCCACTTCATCGTTTAGGTCTGCCTTGGTCTGTTGCTGCTGGAAATAAACCCATTCATTCACTGTCCTCACCAGTGGACAGTTGGTGCCTCCTCAGTGGCCAATGTCATCTGCTGCCATCCCCAACCTTTTGGGTGATGTGCACCTGTAAGGGCGACTGCGCTGGAGGCTGAGCCACAGCACCAGACAAGTCAGGAGCAAAAACAGGTTTATTTAGATCTGTGGTCAGTTACAAAGTTGGTTTGATTTTTGGTCACGTGCCCCAGAATGCGTATTCTCAGTTTACATCAAAACACAAAACTCGACATTTATAGTTTGAAAACTTAAAAACAAAGGCTTTGTTTAAAATCACTGTTGAGACATTCTCTCTGGTGCATCACCCATATGACAGACCAAATTGCTCGAGACCCTACGGGGATGACTTCTGACAGCGAACATGTAATTGAACGTTTAAACGTCATCAAAATGTCAGGGCCTCTGCACTTGAGTTTATTGAAGATACAAAAAACGCCTGTGACCATCTTTGGTTGCAGACCAGATGATGCTGACTCCCACGCCCCCGCCACGTCCCTGCCACGCCCCTCCATCCACAGGGCATGCAGGCCTGTCCTGGACTAGGCAGTGAGGCTGGGGTGCCACCAAGCGATGTGCTTAATGGCTTGGGGGTGAGGAGGGAGGCAGGGGTGAAGCAGCGTCCCACTGAGCAGCTGTGTTCCCGGAGGATCTTTTCTTGGAATGGGATGGCCCAGCCTCAGACGGCTGGGCACGCGTGGAGAATGACCCTCACTTTACCAAAAGCGATGGCAGCATCTCACTTTAAAGTCAGGAATCAGAACCACCCTCCAATGTTCTCAGGAACCTCTACGGTTTTGGGAGCAGAGGCTGAGCTACTGTCCTACTGTCGCCAGGGAGAGACGTGCACCACCCTGCCAACCTCGGGGACGGCGAAGCCCCACCCAGGGAGCACTGCCTCCCAAGCTTCATATGGCTCCACCCAGGATGGTCAGAGCACAGAAGGCCCTCAAGAGCCACGTCACCACAGCCCGAGGGCCAAGGGCAGCAGGGGGAGCAGTGGCTGGGTCCAGGGCAGCCCCCCGAGACTAACAGGCCCTCTGATACCACTCCCTTCCCTGTCCGCCCTGGACCACAGCCTTCCTGTCTTAGCTTCTTACACATGGCTCTGTGGCTGTAGGAAAACACCCCGGAGCTCAAAGGTGGCCTCCTGGGCTCAAGGGAGGGGCTGTGCGGCCCTCTTGCTGGCTTGGCCATGGCTCAGAGTTGGTGCAGCTTGCTCCGCTCGGTCAGCAGCGTCATGGCCACCGCGTAGAGGAGGTAGCCCAGCATGAGGAGTAGGGCGCAGGGCAGGGGCCCGATACAGAACAGGGAGGCCACGAAGAAGGCCAGGAGCAGTGAGAGCAGCGTCCGGTAGCTGCCCAGGAAGCGCAGGCTGAGCCTGGGGCCCCGGGCACGGCTGGCTGCACTCTCCCGCGCGACGGGACTCAGCAAGTGCCTGCCCGTCACCCCAGGCTCCGTGAGGTGGTATCGACAAAAGCTGCCAAGGAAGTCGGCCCGGGAACACAGGGCTGCCATCTGGCCTGCAAACTGGGGCACAGACAGAGGCGTGAGGAGTGGGCGCGGGCAGGGCCACACGCTTACCCCACCGCTCCCTGAGGGCGGCCGGACCGGAAGTGGGATGGCCCTCTGGCCGGCACTTACCCTGCAGTTGATGGCGGAAGACAGCCGGAAGAGCATGCGGACCAGGCTGGCGATCTCATAGCTCCGGATGGGCTGCAGCTCCAAGTCACCCTGGTACTCAATGTCAAACCTGCGTAGCCCGTTGATGATCTAGACACAGCAAAAGAGGCAAGCTGCAGGGGAGACCCGAGCCGAGTGGGCAGGCCCGCAAACACCCGTGCAGATGCATCAGAGGGGGGGGTTTCTGCTGCGGGAGCTCCTGGGACAATGGGGGACAGGAGGGGCCCCCCAGGACGTGGACTTTACCTGGTACCGGCCCAGGGGCGTGAGGATGAGCCCGTCCTCTCCCACAATGCAATCTGGAAGCTGCTTCTTCCCATTCTCATCTTGTGTTGTCCCCAAGGCGAGTGTGAGCTGGGCGAGCTGGGCCTCACTGAGCTGTTAGGGAGGAAGCACCACGGCTTTCCACTACCTGCTTTCACTTCCAGGTGAAGGGAGGAGACGGGGCCACACCCTGGGCCTCTAACAGCATGAGGGAGCCCAACATGACATTGCAGTAACAGATTCCACCTCCCACAATCTGGGTGGGGAGGGAACACCAGGGAGGGGACAGCCCCACTGCTCGTACTCGGAACATCTGGCACAGGTACTCCAGCGCCTTCTCTAGGTACTCGTCTGTCTTGCGGACACTGTCCTGCCCCATCTCATCCAGGTCGTTGGCTGGGTAGGAGCCATTCGTGTCTGTGGAGCAGAAGCCCAGCCACGACAGGAAGGGGTGGCCGGGCGTGCTCTCCCCACACTGGTCAGAGATGGACTTGGCGGTCTGCTTGGCCTGCGTGATGAGCTGAGCCAGGCGCAGGACCTGTGGGGTACATGGGCAGGTCAGCCGGAGGAAGCCCGACAGGCCAGGAGGGGGGCGGACATTTTTTAAGACCAAAACATGCATATTCTGAACGTGAAACCTTTCCAACAAACGCTGCCTTTATCAGAAAAACCTTAGACCTCAATGAAAAAAGGCAGGAGTAGAGCAGCTTCCAGGCACCACCACCTTCCCTCTGCCTGAAAGGCACATGCCCTCCCAGGCTCTACTGTTCCTACAGCTTCGAGAAGGCCATGTGGCCCCGAGGGAGCCCCAACTCACCAGTGTCCGGACCTCGGGCCCAAACATCGGGGTGTACTTGCAGTCCTGGCCCTCCAGGCTGTACACGTGGCTCTTCACCCGGAAGGAGGTGTCGGTGACGGCCGGTGGCCACGAGGACAGAAAGCTGCCGGTGAAGGTGGGAGCCGTGAAGAGTCGGTGTTGGCGGTGCGGGATGACAAGCTCTGGCTCCAGGAACAGCTGCTCCCCTGGAAAGCAGGACACGAATCTGCCTTCAGCTTCCAGGGCATGAACTACCTAGTCGCTGCTGGCAGGCTTTCTGGGCTCCTGCGGAGGCTTCCGAGGGGCAGGGGCCCAGCTCCTGATGCCCCCAGAGCCCCTGCCAGTCTCAATGGGTAGGCCAGAGAAGCTAACACTGGACAAAGTCATCTCAGACATGACACGAACTGAGACCACTTTCCATTGCCACCAGGGTGCTGTCTCCCTCCAGCACGGCTCCCCACGGGGAAGGCACAGTGCAGCCAGGCCCCGACCTCTACCCCACCACTGTCCACCAGGAATCCCCATGCCACCTTCACCAGGCCACCAGTAGCCTGTGAGGCACACACAGGGTCTGTGGGTCCCTCTCTAAGCGCTGCTTCCCATTGACTATGGGCGTACCTTTCTGGATCATTTCAGCCAGGTTAGGCTGGGCAAAGACTTTGGCCACTCGGAACACCATGAGTGCGTTCTTGGGGCTGACCAGGTCGGTGCGGAGCGCGCGGCTCAGGAAGCCCACAAAGAGCTTGGTGTACATCAGCAGGTTCTCCTGCACAAAAGGTGCCCTGGGGGCCGGGGCCGTGCATCAGGGGCCACACCTCCCACCACGTCCCCACTCTTCCCTGTGTTTGACTCTACCCAGCCATGACATAGAGGTGGCTGAGGGCCCAAGGAGGTGGGGGAAAACTAGGCCTCCTGCGGACCACACAATCCTCCACAGGATGAGCCCTTCCCCAGAAGACAGGGCCTCTGTGGCAGAGGCTGACCCGGCAGCAGAGGCTACTACTAGGCAGAGAGCACTAGTGAAGGACGGTGGAGGGTGTCAAGGGGCAGTTTGGGGGTGGGGAGTGTGAACGCACATCTAAGCAGACAAGAAGGGCAAGGGGACAGTGCAGAGTCATCAGCTGTTTCTATGGGAGGTCAATCCCAGGCAACGCAGCACAGTCGAGGGGCGGCTTGTGCCCACCCAGAAGCAGGCCCCCCAGGGAGGACAGCGTGCCGGGGCTCACCATCTCTCTGACACACACCGGGCCTGGCAGTCGCTGCTTGGGGCCGGCTTCTCAGGTGCATACCTCCAGGGCTGCAGGTAGCTCAGCCACATCTCCAGAACCTGGTGAGATACGCATGTCCAGAAGGCCTGGTGGCTGGTACTCTGGTGGGCTGTGGGGCTGGGGTTTTGGGCCAAATCCTGGGGTGGCGTGGAGCCCAGCTTCCAGGAGGCAGCTCAGGTGAGCAGGGGTAAGCCTAACTGGGGGAACACAGAATGCTTCCATGGCTGAGTGAGGCAGGTGCAGCTTGGTGAGGCTGGGAACCCACCCAGTGTGGACACCTGGGTTCCAAGTCAGGGCGGACAGAGCTTTTCTGTACCTGAGGGTTGGCTTTGGAAACTCAAACGAGCAGAACGTGACCCTCAAGGCTTCCCCACCAGGCCTTTGCACTAACAGCTGAATCTCACCTGTGTCCGCCCCATGGGACCTCCCTTACCAGGCACACAGAGGGCAAAGGCAAAGAAGGCAGGGCTGACACTCACAGCTCTGAATGACGCGTCCAGGGGCCAGTGGCCGAAACAGTGCTGCAGGAAGAGGTAGAGCTTCTGCTGGACAAACCTCGGGACGGCGGCCCTGCAGGGGACGGGGGGAGAGGATATCCTCTTTGGTGAGCCCAGTAGCTCCTATTTGCAAGGGCCAGCTCTGCCAGGGTGAGCGGTGGGCACCCCCGGGGAAGTAAGGCTTGTTTTGGGCCCCATTTCTCAGAAGAAGAAACCAAACTTCAGAGAGGTTAGGTAAGGTCCCAACAACACACAGCACACTTGTGGATGATCTACTGAGGCTCCTGTGACCACCTTTGCTTGGCTTGCCACACACAAGTCACCTGCTCTGCTGGCCCCAGTTGGCCTAGCAATCAGGCCACCATCCCAGCCCTTCTGATAGAGGGAGAGGAGGGGCAGAGGAAGAGGAGCCAGTTTGGCTCTTTCTGCCAGGCCTGGAAGGAAAGGCCGTGGCAACCAGGTGGCCCTACCCATCTGTGGGGCCAGAGTGGGGGTGGGGAGATAAACCCAAGAGGGGTCAAGATGATTTCCCACCCGCCTACCCTGCAGAGACCTCACATGCCATCTCTCACAACAGAGGGACAGGTCACTATGGCCTGTGCACAGCCCTGTACCCACCGTTTGAACTCCTCCAGAGGGCTGGTGGCATGGGAATGGGCAGAGGGAGAGACCTGCTCGGGCTTCAGGCTGTTGGAAAAGGCGTGCAGATGCTTTAGCAGCAGGCGCACCACTAGCACATGCTCCTCGGTGGGTGTGAACGACTCCTAATGTTGGGGGGGGGGGGAGTGGCGTGAGGGCCCAGGCAAGTCTGGGGTGAAGCCCCCAGGTAGGGCCATGTCCCACCCACACCATTTCTCCCCGTAGGATGCCCGGGCCACCCCCAGGGCCCTCCCCATGCCTTGCACCAGGAGATCTGCCTTGCTCGCTGGCTCTGAGACCTGCTAAGAGCACTGAAGCCTGCACAGGGCAACCCTGGGACAGCTTCCTAAAACAGACCTGTGGGCTTCCCGGGCCATTGCCACCCAAGTCCTCAGGGGTCCCCAGCTGCTGGTCAGCCAGAGGAGCAGCAGCAGGAGGCACGCCAGGCCAGTATCCCACCCTGGATCTGGATTCTGGGTTTCCTGCCTGCCTCCTGGGTGTGTGGAGACAGCTCTCTGGGGCCCATGGCTTTCCCTTTCAGGTACAAACACTCCCCGGTCCTCTTGCTGCGACCCCCCCTTTCCCATCCGCTTCCCGTTCTGGATACAACCAGCTGGGGGCTCGACCCAGGGTGGCCTTTCTCTTTTGCTAACAGACCTGTGGTCAGCACAACCCCTAAGACAAGAGCACTCTCAATCTTGTGGGCTGAAACTCCGATTCATAAAGTTCACGTAGGATCTTTAAGACCCAGACTGGAGAGGACAGCTTGTCTACTGGCTGTTCCGTGATGGAGAATAGGGCCGGGGCTCCTGAGTGGCAGGGAATGGCACTGACAGGCCCCACTGCCCGTCAGCTCCCAGCCCTTGGGTGCCCATACACACTCCTCTCCCCACACTCACCCCCAAGGCCTCTGAGGCCTCCACAGACTTGATGGAGGAGCTTTCAGAAGCCTAGTCGAAATCCTGAGCAACGCTGAGGCTGGCACAGGCCATGCCTCCTGGCACAGCCCAGGGACCCAGCCCTAGCCTCGCCACCGCCCACGAACTGTCCTCTCGGCTCTCCCCACCATGGATCTGCCTCCGCGGGCCCAGGCAACACATCCCACGGCTCTGTACACACGGACAGGGAGCTATGGGGTCTTGTGAGGAGATGTGCTGCTACTTTTCAGTACACTTAAGTTTTTGTGTGACGAATTTGCATCGTTTGAAGAAAAAGATATTTTCATAGTAATGAAATTTCAGAAAGCACTGATGCCAGGCTGTAACTGCCCCTCGGGAGCCTCCCTCTTTCTCATTCCTGGTCCCTCACCGACCCTACCACTGTCTCCCTGACAGAGGACAGGGCATCCGTGCTGAACTGGAACTGTGCCCCCTCCTGTGCACAGGCCCTTTCCATCACACTGGAAGCCCCTTGGGCTATCTTCCTGTGGGTGGGGGTGGGGGTAGGAAGAAGCCAGACCTTCCCTCTGACACCCACCCCCTCAAGCCAAATCCCCATAGGAGCCTGGCCACCGCTGTACATGGCCTCCTCCAGTTGCGTGCCCTGGAGGGACACGTTCCCAAAGCCTGTGGCATTTCTCCCAGGGCCCCGACCTTCTCATCTAAGCAACCCCTCCTGCTGAGGATGTTTCTCCAGGGATCCTGCTCTTAGCCAAGTGAGACCTTCCCCAACACAGACTGGAGGGGTACCCATCTCTGTGCTCAAGCCAGCCCTGCCAGCCTTCCTGAACCATTCTCTTCCTTCCTCCCCTCCTCTCAGCAGTTGCTGCTTCTGGGTGGGATCCCTGTGTGCGCTCACTACGCCATCCCACCAAAGCGGACTTCTCATCCTCTGCTCAAATATCAGATTAAGTGTTGATGTGGGCTCCCACTGAGGGGGAACTGGACGATCCCTGACCTCGAGCACGAATCTAGATGCAGGCTTTCTGCCCAGACCTTGCTGGCATTCATCTCATGAATCTATGACCCACCAGACTCCATCAGCCCTAATAGCCTGCAGGTCTGAACTCCCCCTACCAACCTCAAAACCGTCCACACCGGTCATGTCGACCTAAAGCAGACCAGTCTTTATGAGGCTCTCATCTACTCCTGCCTGCCTCTGGAGGAGCGCACAAGTCCACACAAGGCCAGGGCCCAGCATGCTCAGGAATCGACAGCATCTCTAGGCCAAGCCCTTGTCCTCTCCGCCCCTTGGCCTCACACCGGCTTGGGGTCGGCAGAACCACGCCACCACGAGCCCTGGGCCTCCCTGTGCTCGGTCAGTTCCTGAGCACCAGGCCGGCACTGCCAGGTGAGTGAGGCCACTGCAAAGGCCTTGCTGTTCCCACTCCCTCAAACCAGGGCCAAGAGCAGAAGCCACCAACTCCCAAGAGCTTGCAAACTCCAGCTGGCTTAGGGTTTGGCCAGGAAGATCTGGTGGCCCTACACCCCACAGCTGGGCCAGTCTGCCAAGCTGAAGGCCAAGCCACGCTGAAGACCGACGCTTGCCACCATCCCACACACACACTGGCCTTGCTCTGTTTGGAACTGGTCTGAGTCACCCCAGCCGGCCCCCCGCCGGCCCCTCGCTTTACCACTGCACTGCCATGCACTCCATGGCTCACACCACAGGGCAGGGGTGAAACGGAACAATACGAGAGCGGCCAGTACTTGGTAGGCGTGGAGGGCCTGGAGGCTGGGTTGGGCAGGGCTGTGGAGGGCGCTGGAGACACTGAGTCGGTAGTGCAGAACCTCCAGCTGAGAGACAACAAAACAGAGAAGCCAAGAAGAGGCAGGGAGGGCAGAGGGCAGGGGACAGGAGGGGAGAGACCGGGGAGGGGACAGCAGGGAGAGAGAGACAAAAGTGAGCCCAGAAATAAAGAGAGAAAACAAAAAACAAAAACAAAAACAAAAGCACATCAGTGACAATCTACACAATCAGAGCCCCGCAGCCTCAGGCCAGTGGGACACCACCCTCTCAGCCGCCCTGACAGGCCCGCCTGATGGGCAGACCAGAGTCAGGCCCGAGGACTGCTCTTCCACCTGCCGGGCAGAGAGACAGACAGACACTCAAGGTCACCTGGACAGCCTCCTCCGTGTCACTGGGGCCTGAAGGGCTCTCAAGCACCCCGAGGTAGGCCCGACTTACTCTCCTGCCAGAGGGTCCTGCCCTCCCCTGACCCTGAACACTCCGTGTGCAGCATGTGCATGCTGCAGCCCGCCAGGATCGCAGGGGCCTTGCTGGGACACACTGCTAGCCACCGAGGCCCTGAAGGCCCCAAGGCTCAGGAAAGAAACTTTTGAGGAACCAGTTTAATGGAGAACTCTACTCACAGAAGAAAACACGTAATTTATTGGACTTCCCCTGGTTGTTCCAAACAGAAATTTACCAAATTGATATATGATGTGATCAGTTCTTAGGTATCAAAGTCCAGTCAGCGGCCCCTCCTGAATGGTTCTCTCTGTGGGGGCTGATTCCCAGGGTGGCGCAGAGGCTTAGCAAGGCTCAACCCCCTAGGCCTGATGCCCTCCACACTCTGCATTCTGTAAATCGTTAAAGGTGGCACAAACACTCATGGGTTTGAATTCTGGGAGACCCACCTCACCAGGACTCCCCAACTCCAGATACACAGAGCCCTTCACCAGTCCCAACAGGCCCCAAGATATTGGCCATGGCCACATACATCCAGAGGCAGTTGGAACCCTGAGGCTGGGACAGCCTGGGACATGGGGGATGACGGCTGAGTTGGCACAACTGTCCACCCCCCCCCCACCCTCTGCACCCCCTGCAGTGACAAAGCCTGCTAAAGTAGTCCCTTTCAGCCAAGCACAGCCCAGATCCGGCCCTGGCACACATCCTGCCCTGTGAGGGCCATGCCTCCCACTGAGTATCATGCTTCACACAGGAGAGGTCAGAATGCGTGTGCCAGACTTGAGGAGACAGGCACAGCCAGAGACACGCAGAGCAAGGACAGGAAGGAACACAGCAAGTTGTCCGCCCTTCAAGGTCTTCCTCTGAGCCAGACCCGGGGCTCAGCTACAGCTCAGTGGGAATCAGGGAACATGTGGTTCCCCTCCTGGGTGCCTGCCCAGCCTACAGGAAAGCAGGGCAGGCCCCACAGTGGCCGGAGTGTGCAGTCTTTAGCAACCACCTGCCTCTCCAGAAGCCCTGCTTAGTAAGCTAGGGTGGAGCAGAGGCCCAGGCTCTGCAGAGCAAGCATCCACCCAGAGGATGCATTAAAACACTGTGGGACCTCTCAGAGCTGCACTTCCTGCATCTCTAATATCAGGAAAAGAGTGACCCCAAAGCTAGGATTCCACATGGCAGCACAGGCTTGGGTAAATGTAAGGAGCCTCGGATGAAGGAGACCTCCATGGTTGTCTTTCTCCACTTCCCACACACCAGGTTTTCTAAGGTTTCATTTTCAGCCTCAATAGGAGGCCAAAAAAACAAATAAAAACTCCAAAACCCTCTCTGGGTGTTTGGTGGGGTTTCCTGGTTGTCCCCTGACCATCACCAATCATTCTGAGCAGCTTTGATTCACCTTGTGGTCTGGCCAAGAGGAAGCAAACGTGGGGAAGAAGGGGACGCTCCCCCCATCCCCCGCTCTGGCAGGTACAGCCCACCACTCCTCACAGGTGACAGGCATATCTACTAAAAATTACAGTGAATGTGCTCCCACTGTCTCAGAAGACAGAATGAGCAAAGTAGCCTCTGCCTCTGCAAGACCAGCCACATGCACAGGGGCTGAGCGAGCCCCCCAGCACCACAGGGGAAAGCCTGGCTCCCTGACCCCCATGCACCAGCCAGAAACATGCAGCAAGTCCACTCTGGAAGCAGGAATGGCAGTGCAGGTGATTAGTGACTCGAGAGGCCCAAGATGGAGTCCTGGCTTTCCCTCTGTTCCATGTGGTGCCAAGGACAGAGATCTGGGGTACTCTGTACTTTAAGAGAACAGCAGTTGGGGGCTATTCCCCAAACCGGTAATTAGCAGAGTACGGAAGGTGAGCTGGCTGCTGAGACTCTGCAACAGGAAAACAACTGCTACTTGCTGGAATCACAGAGGGAAAGTCACAGGCCACCCTTACGAATTTCAACCCACAGAGTCTTAATTTAAGGACTCTCTCGGGATCCCTGGGTGGCGCAGCGGTTTAGCGCCTGCCTTTGGCCCAGGGCGCGATCCTGGAGACCCGGGATCGAATCCCACGTCAGGCTCCCGGTGCATGGAGCCTGCTTCTCCCTCTGCCTGTGTCTCTGCCTCTCTCTCTCTCTGTGTGTGACTATCATAATAAATAAATAAAAATTAAAAAAAAATAAGAACTCTCTCAAGAACTTGGTCTGGCATCGACAAAAGCAAAGTCTAAGAAGCAACACAGAAGCACACAGAAGCACACAGAAGCCACGGATCACACAGTTGGTTACAAGCCGATGCTGCCCTCAGCAGGGCCTGGGTTCATGTGTTTCAGGTTGTTTCATGGAGTGTGAATCTAGGCGCCCACCCTGCCTCTCATTAAGCGAACAGAGCTGTTCTACCCTGAGGAGTCCAGTGGGCTGCCAGCCCAAGCGATAGCAACCCAGGGAAGGTTTCAGGGACACAGCTGCAAATGAGCATGCTGCCCTGTGAGGGAAGGTTAGGAGAGGAGGAAATAGGCCAGGCCACATGCAGGAAGGCACCAGATCCCACCCACTACACAAGGGCAGGAGGGCAGCGTGGACGCCCAGGTGAGCAAAGTTTGCCAGGGGCCACCTCGGCAGGAGAGCAGGAGGCACTGTGACAGTAGAGGGGACAGCCCCAGCTGTGACTCCCAGAGGCATCTGCAACAATCCTGCCCCCAGAGCACGAGCACCACAACCTCATCCATTCCAGCTGCCGGGAAGCAGGCTCTTGAAGTAGCATGGGGAGGACCCCAGAGAGGACAGGCCTCCGGCTCTCACGGTGAAAGCCCACCACAGAACAAAACCCACCTGCTGTCCAGCACTGGAGTAAGGGGTGATGGGAAGTTTCTGCTTCCCACCAACCAGCCCTTGAAAACTAGCTGAGATCAAGGACAAGAAGTAGCAGGCAGACCAGGCACACCAGGGCCAGAGCAGATGGAACAAAAAAGTGTGGCAACGTACCTTAGCGTGAGGGGACTGCATTTTTTGGTACATCTCCAAGGAATAATGATGAAGCCACATTTCAACAAAAACCTGCAAGAGAGCACTGGATGGTCAAATGATTTTCATCTAGGGTGGTATGAACAACAACAAAAAAAACCCCAACCTCTGGGGCAGGGGATTAATATCCAAATGATGGTGGTCACAGGAAATCTCTCCAGTAATGAGGGAGCGGGAAGATGTGGGGGTGGGGCAAGCTTTCCCATGGATCCACTGGACACTGAACAGCACTCGGTCATGAGAAAGTCAGAACTTGATGGACAGGGAATCCTAGGATGAAAAGCACTGCCAACGACATACGTTAGACAGGTGGCCACGTTTCTTCCAGTCTCGGATTTCTACATGGCACAGCAGGAAAATACCAACAATTTTGAAGCCCTCTCAGGCTGAGGACAATGTTTAGGCCTCTGTCCCCTGGGGGCAGAAGGCAGCCAGGCAGTTTATTTTCAAACAGAAGATGAGAAGGGACTCCTCACTCTCACCTGGAGTAGAGTTTCAGACCTCCAGATCTCATGGGAGGCGGGGTCTGCGTTCACAGATGTCTGGTGAGAGACGTGTCGCTTCAGGAGGCTGGTGTGGTGGAGGCCATAGGAAGCAAAGGGGATGGCTGGTGTCCTGAAGGACACACAGAAACAAACAGGCCTTTGTTAGGGGCTCCTGATGGCACAACCAGAGGCAATCCGAATGTGAACACTGGGTGGCAAGAGTAGCCTTTACACCTGCTGAATCACAGGACGGACCCCGTATCCACATGGATATACACAACCAATGAACGGGAAAAGTCTTCCCTACCGCAGTATGCACTTATCAATGTAAGGGAGGAAAGCAGAAAACCACCCTTAGGCAACCATCCTATTAATAACTGATTTAGCCAATGATCATCAAGGGACACTAATACCAATAATTACATAGTCTTAACCTTTCTTCCCAACAAACCCCTCCTGCTAATTAACTTAGGCACAAAGTACCCATTTAATCTTGCAGTAGGAAAAGCTGGCCAACACCCCCCCACTCCCCAACCCAGTGATCAAAACAATATCGCCAGCATACGGACTCCATAGCCGCTGGGCCTAATTGCTAAGAAACACCAGAGACACTCAAGATAAGGGCATTTTGCAAACTTCCGGGTTGCAAGCTTCCAAGGTGTCAAGGTCAGGAAAGACAGGGGAAGACTGAGGGACTGTTCCATACTGTAGGGGGACCAGAGACAACCACACACAGCGAGCAAGCCTGCAATGGATCCCAGCAGGGGAGCAGACATGGGTGGGGTAGCTAGTGCAGCTCGAGGGTGTCTAAGGATGAGATAGTGGCCTGACTGCAGTACTAATTTCCTGATTTGGATAAAAGTGCAGTGGCTGGGGGATCCCTGGGTGGCTCAGCAGTTTGGCGCCTGCCTTTGGCCCAGGGCATGATCCTGGAGTCCCAAGTCAGGCTCCCGGCATGGGGCCTCCCTCCCTCTCTCTCTCCTCTCTCTCTCTCTCTCTCTCTCTCTCACATAAATAAATAAATAAATCTTAAAAAAAATAGTGCAGTGACTGTGTAGGAGAATGCATTCGCTTTTAGGAAATACACTCCAAAAAAAAAAAAAAAAAAAGGAAATACACTCCAAAACATTAAGAAATAACAGGCATTGTATCATAATCCATTCAACTCAAATAGCCTAGAAAAAAATACATACAGAGAAATAGAAAGTAAAATGATTTAGGGACACCTAGGTGGCTCAGCAGTTTAGCGCCTGCCTTGGCCCAGGGTGTGATCCTGGAGTCCCTGGATGGAGTCCCACGTCGGGCTCCCTGCGGGGAGCCTGCTTCTACCTCTGCCTGTGTCTGCCTCTCTCTGTCTCTCATGAATAAATAAATAAGATCTTTAAAAAAATAAACAAAATAAAATGACTTAAGAATGTAGACGAAGCCCCCATGGAAGTTGTTTGTTATTCACGGCAAGTTTTCTTTATACTTCAGGTTCTATGTTAAAATAAGCGAACAAAACTGGACCCAGAAAACAGTTTGGCAGCTGAAACGTGTCTGAGACGGCATGAACCTGACCAGTCCGGCTCCTTCTTGGCCGTAGCATTACCAATGCCTGGGCACCCTCTCCCCACTGCCATGCCCCCACCTCCCCCTCTAGTCCCCTCTCCTTGGGGGTGTCTGTACACACACATTGAGTCCTGGGTCATGGCACAGCACATACCAGCAGCTGTGGGGCAGACTATGCCTGCCTCCCAGGGACAAAGGTGCATGAGCTGAGGACGGTGAGGAGCACAGGTGGCAGCTCCCGGGGTAGGAGCGTCTCCTGCAGGGAGACGGCCAATTGACCCCTGGCTGAAGGCCTCCCAAGACCTCAGTTCACCCTTGGGTTGAGGCTGGCTCCACACTCCCCCTTCCTGCATGGTCCAGCCACAGCCCAGCTTACTTGGACTGGCACAGAAGGATATTTACCCCAGGGCCTCTGGCTCAGGCCAAGACCTGGTCCTGCAGCCTACACAGATCCCTCTGGTTCTTTTTTTTTTTTTTTTTTTTTTTAATATTTTATTTATTCAAGAGAGAGAGACAGGCAGAGGGTGAAGCAGGCCCTATGCAGGGAGCCCGACGTGGGACTTGATCCCGGGTCTCCGGGATCAGGCCCTGGGCTGAAGGTGGCACTAAACCGCTGAGCCACCCAGGCTGCCCCATCCCTCTGATTCTTATTCTTCCACATGTCAGCCCTGCAGTGGCTTGCCTACAGGCCCTTTCTCTCCAGCACCACCAGCCCAGTAGCATCAGTCAGCTCTGGAAACACAGCTTCAAGCCACTACTTCAGTGTGGGGCTTGGATGTCACACGTAGGGAGGGCTGCCATGGGCAGAACACAGTCCACTCTCAAACCAAAGCCAGGCCTTGTCCATGTGGCTGCAGGACCTGCTCACTGAAAACCCAGACACAGACATTCTCCTTACCCCCTGCCCTCCGGTCTGTGCCAGGTAGCTGGGGTTGGGGGATCTCGGCATAAAAAAAGTTGGAGCAACCTGAACAAAAGTGGTACTACTGTCCCGCGAGCAATGCCCGCTGACCAGGCTACTCCCTCATGGAATGGCTACCCCAAGCCAAGCCAGGGCAGCCAGAGAGCCTTACCTGGGAGCTGGTGAGGGACTGGGCCCCCCGGGACTGGAGGAGAGTGGGGGGAGCACACTGCCTTCTGTGGGTAGGAACCAGGACAGGTACCTGTCCACGAGGATGAAATAGGCACAGTCTGAAGTTCGGATGTGGAGGGCCCCAGGGAGTGGCTGGAAAAGCAAATCTGTATTGGTGTGTGACTCTGGGTGCCGCCCCTGGCTGCTGACCCAGCAAGTGCAGGGCTCAGATCAATGCACACAAGCCCTGGGACATGGGCCATATGCCAGAGGTTAGACCAGAGGCACCCCAGGGCAGTACTAGGAAACAAGTTCCCACCACAGGGGGCCTGACTAGACCCCAGAGTCCTTTTCAGCATGCAAACTTCCTGGGCACCTCTTCCCTGCCCCATGCCCAGCAAGCACTTCCTGCAGGAAGCTAAATCAATTACCACCCGGGGTGCCCGGATCACCCCACGTTGCCTGTCAAGTCTGCACAAGCTTGTCATCCCCACTAAGTGAGGATGGCCTGAAGAATAAAGGCTGGAGGAAGCAGAGGAGGAGCTGGAGAAATGAGGTGGGAAGGGAAAAGAAGTGGAAGATAAAGGAAGTCCTAGGTTGTAGCCACACCCATCGTGGGGTGGGGGTGGGGGGCTTTGATCAAAAGCTGCTCAGGGTCATCCCTTTTGTACCTTTTGGGTGATGAGGCTCAAAGCAAAGAAGAACATGTAGTACTCGAACGGGTCTGATGGCAGCATCAGGAGGCAAACAGGTCTGGTTACTGGGCCACCCCCAGCACTGTGTCCCACCCACTCAAGGCCTCCCCACCCCTGTGGGCACTGACAAAGGATACTGAGGGCCAAGTTTAGGCCAAGGCCCCCTGTTGTGGGGAACTGGACCTTGTTGTGGTACAGAGGGCTGTCGGGGAGTACGCGCTCCTGGATGGATGCCTTCACAGGGCCCTGTGGAGACAGGGCACTGGGCTTGTGGGCAGGCTCCAGCAGGGCACTCCCATGCAGTGTGGAGGCCACCAGCACAGGGACCCTGCCTGGGGGAGCAGTGCTGTCTTCTGGGTAGCACTGGAGCAACAGGGCCTCCACTCAGAATGGCTCGCGTTATCCTCAGGAAGACCCTCAATTAGCAAAGGCAGGAGCTCTGGGAGTTTCTGAGCCTCGTCAAGCACTTCACATTCCCCATCTTCTTTGCTTCTCATACCCACCCAACATGTCACCCCTCAAATTGCCTCTAAAGGACTGGAAACTCAGAAAAATAGAGCAACTGGTTACACAGCCCTGCCTGCCACTCAGCCAGGCACAAACCAGGCTGTGTGGTGCTTTCTCCATCGGCAGAGTTTGGAATAATGCCTCCTGGGCCCTGAGCAGACCGCAGTGCTCTCCTGCCCCCCGAGCCCTGCCCAGCCCCCATCACCATAGCCGCTATGCCGGGCACTCTGCCCCGAGCGCGACTCTCACTCCACTGCTTACTTACAGGCAGGTAGGAGACGGGAAAGTCAAACTTATAGTCTTCAGCCTGAAGCTTATAAACCAACTTCATCATTGGGCCACTGAACATGAAATTAAACCGATAAAAACAGGACAATGAACTGTAAACCATTTTGCTGTTTCTTAACTTAGAAAAATACAGCACTTTAAGAATGGGATCACCATGAGGAAACATCTAGCCCCTCTCAGGTGAAAAACCTACCTACCCAGGGTCTAGAAATTCCATTGCAATGCTGTACTCCACAGGATTCACGCGTCCCTGTAGGCAGCGGAGGTTCCAGCCGACAAGGACACCGTCTAGGCTGCCGAAAATGCTCTCCACCAGCCATGGGAAGATGGTGTGCAGTTCCTGAAACAGTGTGCAGGGGAAGCTTTGGGCAGGCTTGCTGAGGACCAGTACCCACAGCCAGGCTGCATAGGCCTCCTGCCCAGTCCTGCCCTATAGCACAAGTTCCCCATCTCCTTCACTCAGTGTATACACATGAACTGGAAATTTCCAGGGTAAGAATATTTGTCCAGGTTGGCTTCCTGGATTTATACCTACTACTTGATAATTCTGGGTGTGATATAAATAAAATATATTTTTTCAGTATGAAAACCAGGATTTCTCAATCTTTTGGGCTGGACACGTCTTTCGGGGACTTCTTTGGGAAAGTTACCAGCATGACTGGCCTCTACCCACTTGATGCCAGTAACACCTTCCCCTATGTGACAACCAAAAATGTCCCTAGGCATTGCTAAGTGTCCCATGTAGGACAGAAGTACCTGCAGCTGAGAATCCTTGGTCTACATATTGGTATATTTAAATGTGTCTATAAATGTGATAGTCACAATACTGGGTCAGACCTCTGTGCGGGACAGTGCTCAGAATTGGGAACCTGGGGCTATAAGAATGTTTTTCAAAGAGTATATGAGGGGATCCCTGGGTGGCGCAGCGGTTTGGCGCCTGCCTTTGGCCCAGGGCGCGATCCTGGAGACCCAGGATCGAATCCCACATCGGGCTCCCGGTGCATGGAGCCTGCTTCTCCCTCTGCCTGTGTCTCTGCCTCTCTCTCTCTCTCTCTGTGACTATCATAAATAAATAAAAAATCTTAAAAAAAAAAAAAAAAAGAAAGAAAAAAAAAAAAGAGTATATGAGATATGCCCCAAAGAGATGCTAGCAGAACAGTACCTTTGCTGGAAAATCCTCGATGACTTTAACCAAGTCTTGGCACCGCTGTGCAAAGGGCTTATTTATAGAGTCAGCTTTCAGGCTAGCCTACAAGAAAGAACAAACCAAAAAAATCATGAGCATATTCACTTGGCAGCTTCTGCGGTTATTCTGGCTCGAACCAAAACAAACTCAAGTGATAGGTAGGAGTCAGACACTGCATGGGCCTGGTTCCCCAGCATCTGATGTGTCAGGTCATGCATGTGTCGGTGGCCTAAAGAATGCAACTAGGAGAGGCAGGGGTTCTTTGCTCTCTAAACAATCAACAATCAGGATTCTTCCCTGCACCCTCTGTCAGGCATCCCCAGTTACAGCAGGGCACTGCAAATTTTCATGACAGAAGTGACTTCCACCCAATCCAGAAGGAGGGGGTCAGCTCCAGGGTCAGCCTCACAGCAGAGGACCTTACTGTATACGGCATCCCTCACAGACCAGAGTACTCACTGAGTATGTACACACGAACTGGAAATTTTCCTATGATGACACCACTGTGATCATCAGTGAGGATGCTCAACAAAATAAGGGTGACAGCAGAAACCCTCTTAACCAAGCTGTCCTTTATTCCGTTGGTAACAAGACAATGAATTTGTTAACTTAAGAAATAAGGCAGCCTAGAAATAACAAATGGCTTTAACCAAATGTCAACACTAATCATGAAGGTGATGGGCAGGCCAAGGAACATTCAGGACAAGAATGAAGGAAATCTACCCAAGGTCAAAGGTGTGTATTAACATCTGGAGAAAATGCCAGAATTTCAACCAAGAGGGCTTTGCCCAATGATATCTAAGCCCTTAGCCACCTCTAAATGAGGGTAGTGTCTCAAATCAGAAGTAAATATCTGGGCTGTTGCAGCCACACACTGTGGGAAGGCTCCCCCATGCCTGGCCTCTCTACCAGGAGCACCTCATGTGTTGGCTCGAGAGGGTGCACCAAAGTAGGATGTCCTTCTGAAAAAATGTTTACAGAAAGTATCTTCTGGGAACTAAAACTAGGAATCCTCACCATGGCTATCTGCCTCACACCTAACTTCCCAGTGTCATGTTTCATACCAAGAGTGTAGTCCTGGTGCCCCCAGGGCAGCAGTGTCCTGCCTTCACGGATGACAGTTAAGATTAGAATATCCCATTGAGTATGTAAAGACTTACAAGACATGAAAATTCTGATATATATCCTTTCACATGCTCCTCCCCATGCCCAGGAAGTAGTGAAAATGGCATTTGAACCAACTTATCTTGTAGGTGAGAAACTCATCTTATAAATGAGAAAACAGGGCTCAGAGGTTGAGCAAACCCAATGTCCTGCGCTGCTATGGGGCAGAGTCAAGTCTAAGGATTCTAACCCCCAGGCCAACTTCCTTCACATCCCCTCAAAAAACCACCAGCAGAAGGTTCAAGCCAGGGGAAAGCACTCACAAGTCCCTGAGCTGCAGAACTATCATCACGCTGACACTCCCACAGGCAGCCAGCACTTACCAGCAGGAAGCTGGGCTGCTGCAGGTGAGGGAACGCCATAGCAGCCTCCTGGCAGCTGGTGAAAACGGCCGTCTTAGGAAACCACTGTGAAAAAACAAAGGCAACATCTCAACATCTGCCATACAACAGAATACTATATTGCCTCACAATGTCCAGGGGAGTTATGTGTATAACTCAACACACACTGCACTGCCCAGTTTCACGTTTTATAGAAATGCCAGTCAGATGAAGTCCATGGCGGCCAGCTTCAGAGCTAAGTGTGCGGTGGCAAATCCTTGGTAACACTTGTACGGCACTTGTTAGGTGCCACACCTGTTCTAAAGACTCTCCATATATTTCCTCATTTAATCCTCAGGGGTAGGCAAAATTGTAAAGACAGCCTTTCCAGATTCCTATCCTTGGGTATTCAATCAAACACTCATCTAGGTATTATGAAGGAATTCTGCAGATGTGACTGAAGTCTCAAGGGGGTGGACCATAGATACAGAGCAGTTCCAGCTGCCAGCCAGAAAGGAAATGGGGACCTTAGTTCCAGAACCCGAAGGAAGGAGATTCTGCCAGTAACTTGAATACGCTTAGAAAAAAATTCTTTCTGACGGCTTCTGGGTAAGAGCGAAGCCAACCAACACTTTGATTTTAGTCTTGTGATATCTTAGGAAGAGAACCCAGCAGAGCCTGCCCAGACTTCTGGACTATTTAACTGTGAGATAAGAGTGGATACGGTTTTAAGCTGCTAAGTTTGTTGAAGAAGAACTGAAAATATATCCTCAGGGTGCATGAGTGGCTCAGTGGTTGAGCATTTGCCTTTGGCTCAGGTCATGAAACCAGGGTCATGGGATCAGGTCCCGTGTTAGGCTCCCAGCAAGGAGCCTGCTTATCCCTTTGCCTGTGTCTCTCATGAATGAATAAATAAAATCTTTAAAAAAAAAAAAAAAGAAAGAGGGGCACCTGACTGGCTCAATCGATTAAGCGTCTGCCTTCAGCTCAGGTCATGATCTCAGGGTCCTGGGATCAAGCCCCACATGAGACTCCCTGCTCGGTGGGGAGCCTGCTTCTCCCTCTCTCTCTGACCCTCTTCCCTACTGTGCTTGCTCTCTGTCTCAAGTAAATAAATAAAATCTTTAAAAAAATAAAAAATAAATTTAAAGAAAGAAGGAAGGAAGGGAGGGAGGGAGGGAGAGAGGGAGGGAGGAAGGAAGGAAGAGAGAGAGAGAAAAGAAAAGAAAAAAGAAAAGAAAAGAAAAGAAAGAAAGAAGAAAAAGAAGAAAGAAGAAAGAAAGAAAGAAAGAAAGAAAGAAAGAAAGAAAGAAAGAAAGAGAAAGAAAGATAGCTCGATCCCTGGGTGGCTCAGCGGAAAGAAAGAAAGAAAAAGAAAGAAAGATCGGTCAATCGATCCCTGGGTGGCTCAGCGCTTTGGCGCCTGCCTTCAGCCCAGGGTGTGATCCTGGGGTCCCAGGATCGAGTCCCACACGGAGTCCCACATCCCCTGCATGGAGCCTGCTTCTCCCTCTGCCTATGTCTCTACCTCACTCTCTCTGTGTCTCTCTTGAATAAATAAAATCCTTAAAAAAATAGAAAAAGAAAGAAAAAAATATATCCTCACAACAATCCTGCAACGTCAATACAGATAAAGAAGTAGAGGCAGAGAGGAGGTAAATCACTTGCCCTCACTCAGCTGGTGAATGGCAGGACCGGGCAGCCTGGGTGACTCAGCGGTTTAGAGCCGCCTTCAGCCCAGGGCGTGATCCTGGAGACCCGAGATCGAGTCCCACATTGGGCTCCCTGCATGGGGCCTGCTTCACCCTTTGCCTGTGTCTCTTTCTCTCTCTGTCTCTCATGAATGAATAAATAAAATCTTAAAATAAATAAATAAATGGCAGGGCCAAGATTCTAATGCACAGACCTCCTAAGACAACTCCTACAGAGACAGGTGGGTAAGTCTCCTGAATGTCACCTGTGCTCTGTGAGGATGAATGGAGGGGATGAGCAAGCTCAGTTGTGGGAGGTTGTTTTCTTTTTTTTCTTTCATGGGAGGTTTTGAAGAAGCCATCAGAAAATTAGGAGCAACTCTCTAGATTCCTATCTCTCTGCCCACCTAGGTCAGAAACTGAAAATAATCCAGATGTGGACTGAACAGAAAGGGAGCCTGACACTGCTCTGCCCACAGCATGAGTAAGGGCGCTGAGGCGGCAAATGGAAGTGTATGTGGATGAGGAAAGACCAGGTGCAAGGAGGCAGTGAGGCAGTGGAGGAGTTGACAGGAGATGTGCATCTCTGCCTCTTGGCAATAAAAACACCTCCCGGGTTTTTCCAATTCTTAATAGTACTGGCTATAAAATCCAGTTTCAAAGACCTAAGAGGCCTCAATACTGAACCAGGAGAACACTGCGATTAAAATGACCAAAGCAAAATGATCAGAACAGCATAAAATCCTGGCCTGTTTCCAAGGGCAGAGCTTTGGCGATGCTGAGGTGCGAGGGCCTCCTTGCTCAGAGGCAGCCTGCACTGGCAGCCGCCGAAGGCCTGAGGCCCAGAAGAATCTTTCGGAGGGCGGGCAGCGTCTCCTGCGCCCTGTCCTCTAACCCAGCCGCAGCCAGGCTCCTCCATCACACACCTTTCTCCACTGTGTATCAAGGGTTCCCTTCATCCGCCACTTCACAGCCACTTTCCTCAGTGGCTGCTCCGGATCTTGTTTGGGGTCTCAGAGCCACAACGCCAATCACACTATGGCCAAGGCCTCCCTCTGGCTGCGCTCTGAGCCGCGGAAGCAGAGCATGCTCCCATTAGCAGCTCACAACTGCTCTGAGAAGGGAGCATCGGGATCTTCATATTACAAATGAAGAAACTGAGGCTCAGAAAGGCCGGCCCACACACGGAGGAGTCGGGTGAGAATTCATCCCCACGGCTCAATTAACTCGAATCTCTCCTTCCACCAACTCGTTCAACGGACGTTAACCGAGCACCCACCAGGACCGGGTGTGCGGGGCGCGCGGGAAGGGGGCATGAGCGCGCAGCCCAGGAAGGTGGCAATGAGCGCGCAGCCGAGCCCCTGGCTCCCGAGGCCTGCGGCTCGAACAGGAAGTGAGATGCTTCGGCGGAGGTTCTGGGGGCGGCAGGCCCGCACGCGGCTCCCCCCACTCACCTGGGGGACCCATGAAGTCGCTCGCCGAAGGGACGGAGACCGCCATTCGGCTACCCGGCGCCGAAATGTCGTCATCAAGCTGCGCTTGGCGTCACGCCTCCCCCGGCCCGGCGGGAAACGCACCGCGGGCTCCGCGCGCAGCTATCTCAAGAAGGCGCGTGCGCACAGCGCATGCCGGGTTCATAGGGTTACACCTCCGAGTGCGCGTGCGCAGCGGGGGCAGCCGTCGCCCTTAAAACCCAGCGTTCCCAGGCGGTAGGAGCTGGAAGGAGCGCGCGTGCGCGGAAAGAGAAGCTGTCAAGAAGGTCCTGGAGGCGCGCCCCCTAACGGGGAACCGGCGCGGGATAATTACACCCCGCAACGACTGACTTTTCTTCTGACGGGTAGTTATCGAGCGCCTACTACATGCCAGGCACTGCGTGGGTGCTGCCGCCCAAGGGAGAATGACCAATGCCGTCTGACCCTGCTTGCCCAGAAACGAGTCTCCGCGGTGCCACAGGATCCCGCACGCCCTACACACACCCCTGTTGTGGGATCACTGAGGACGACCGTGGAGAAGGAATTCTTGAGACTATTGGTGCAACTTAGTAAGTTCATCGAAGTAGCACAGGGACAGGAGGAGCCGTGGGCAGAAGCTGCTGCACTTGTGCTGAATGAGGCTGGCGGTTCTATCGGAGGGGCTGTGCAGGGATTATTAGGTCGCAAATGTCTTCTTGGGATTTCTCCTTCTAAAACTACTTTCGCAAGGTTTCTCTGGTGCGTATCATTCAGCTCGGTAGTGACTACCCGTGAGACGTACCGGCAGCCAGGAGACCTTTGAGGATGTAGCAACCGGCCCTTATCTGATCTTTATCAAAGCTATGCAGGCTGTCGTTCAGCCTTCGGGCTAGAGACGAGCATCTTCCTGCTTTTACCCCTCCTCACCCCGCAGGGAAACGTCTGCGGATGGAGCGGCGGAGCGGGGCGCGGCGGGGAGAGGACGGCGGGCGGGGCCGACAGGGGGCGCTGCGGGAGCGCCGGGGCGCGGCGGCGGCGGCGGCGGCGGAGCGGCGGGCGCGGCGCGCGCCTCCCCGGGGTCCGGTACATGGCGGCGCCGGGCGCAGGGCCCGGACCCGGAGCGCCCCCGGGGCTGGAGGCGGCCCTGCAGAAGCTCGCGCTGCGGCGGAAGAAGGTGCTGAGCGCTGAGGAGATGGAGCTGTATGAGCTGGCGCAGGCGGCGGGCGGCGCCATCGACCCCGACGTGTTCAAGTGAGCCCGCGCGGGGGGGGTGTGCGTCGTCCTGCCCCGGACCCCCCGCCCCCGCCCCCGCCCCGGCCTCTGGTCTGCAGCGGCCCCCAGCCCCTTCCGGCCCCCTGTGGGCGCCCACAGTACAGTTGGGGGACCCGAGGGAGGTGGCCGTCCTAGGCCCGGGCGGGGAGGGCTCACAGCCCACCGCCTGTGTTCTCTCCAGGATCCTGGTGGACCTGCTGAAGCTGAACGTGGCGCCCCTCGCCGTCTTCCAGATGCTCAAGTCCATGTGTGCTGGCCAGAGGCTGGCGGGCGAGCCCCAGGACCCCGCGGCCGTGTCTCTGCCCACATCCAGCGTGCCCGAGACCCGAGGTCAGAGCCGGGCCCCGCGCTCCCCGCCCCTGTGGCTCGGCGGTGGGTGGCGGGGGAAGGGAGTGGGCAGCGCCAGACACGAGGCAGGCTTGGCCCTGAGCGGCAGGGCGCTACTGTGGGTCTTCTCCCAGCACCTGCAGGGACCATCCAAGGGCTCCATTCTTGGTTTCCAGTCCCCAGCTTTGGCTTCGTTGCTACCCTTCACAGTGCCCGTGTGCGAATCCAGATCAGGTGGATGCAAAATGGGTGTCCAGGGTGCCCGGGCGGGCTAGGGCTCATCTAGGATTGCGGCTCCCGCGCTGGGTAGAAATGCTTTCGTTCCACAAAGACAGGAGCAAGGTGGTGTTGGTTCCTGTTCTCATGGTGTGTACAAGCCTCCAGGAAAGCGCTCAGGGAGTGGTGCAGGCACAGGCCTTCCTGCACCCTCTCCATCTGTGGGCCACCTGTGCCCAGGTGCTGCTCAGGAACATAGCCAGCCGAGCTTCCTTGCTCGGATTGCAGGACAGGGGTCAGCATGGCAGCCCCAGGCTGCCCTAGACGCAGGATACACAGGTCTGAGTGGGCACAGCACTGGGCTTCAGTTTGAGGGGCCTCCTCACTCTTGAGAGTCAGGACTGGGGGATAAGCTGGCACTACTAACGAAGGTGTCACAGTGGAGCTCCAACTGCATCCTCCTGGTGTGTCGCATCTGCTCCCAGTTTCAGAAATGCTCTGAATGCTTGGCCAGAGCCCTCAGGCACTCACAGACATCCTGAGAAGGGGCTGGTGTTCGGGCTGGGGGCAGGCTGGGCCCCTGTGGGTGGGAGTGCCAGGGCCCTGGGTACCTATGCCCCCTGTCCTGAGAGGCCCTGGGCCCTGGAGCGCAGGCTTCCTTACTGATCCACGCTCTGTCTACTCTCTTTGTGTCTCTCTCTGACCTCCAGAGGCCTCCTTTCTCTCTGCCAAGAACCGTAGTCCCCCTGCAAGGCCCTCCTTTTCCTCGGCCCCGCGGCCTGCGGCCTCTCCGGTTCTGCTCCACGGCCCAGCTGCCACGCACTCGCCTCTCTCTCCAGGGCCCCCCGGTTCCCTCCGGTTCTCTTGCTGCCTGTTCTCTCCTTTTGCAGGTTGCGTTTATTGGTTTATCTCTGGGGGTTGGTGCTCTCTCATTTCTGTGGAAACTGCTGTGGCCCCCAGAAGGAAGAGCAGCTTCTAGAGGAGCTGCAAGGGCAGGACCTTATGGGCCATTCCTGCCACACAACTTAGAGACCGAGACAGGATTTCATGCCTCAGTTTATTAGAGACAACCTGCAATATTTCTAGAATGGGACCACCACCCCCTGTACTCTGTGGAGGTGCTCTCACCCCAGAGGAGGACACTAGGCAGAGGGGCGGGAAAGCCTTTACTTTGCTATAGAGAGTGAAGCCTTAGGTATGAGAAACGCTTTGGCCTCTTAGATGCTGTCACCCACCAAGACCTAGAGGATAAGCTGTAATTGCCCTTTCCTGCCTGCCTCCTAAGCCAAGGGTACCTTCCAGGTATTGTCAGGTCTGATGAGGCTGGAGGCCCAGACCAGGAGGGTGTGAGGGCCTGAGATCCCATAGGTGCCCTGGCTGTGCTCTCCATGCCCCTCCCCATTGCACCCACCTCGATGTTCTAGGTGCCACCTGGAGTTCAGGCTGGGGGGAGGGGGAGAGAAGGCCAAGGGGCCGGTCAGGGTAGAGGTGGGTAGACTACAAAGCTGAGTTGAAGAATCCGTGGACAGAAGGAGGGAGAAACTGGAATGGAGCCCTTCTGATTTGAGGGGGTGTTTCCGCTCATGAGTGCCAGGCTGGCTGTCAGTGCTGAGGACTCAGGGGTTGTGAGATGAACAGGTCCTCCCTCCAGTGAGGGAGATGGCTAGATAAATCAACGGTGAGAGACAGGAGGAAGCCAGTGTAGCTGGCCTTCCTGGAGCAGCAAGAGTGAAGCAGACTCAGAGTCCTGTTGCCCTGCAGCCCTTCGAGGTAGGGGTAGTGGGTGGGCTCCAGCCACAGATGCAGGCCCAGGCCCCTGGTAGAAATAGGCCTGAGCTTGGAGGGGGGATAAAGAAGAGGGTGGGGTGGAGAATCAAGAGGTAGTGTGGATTTGGCACTGGGAGCAGTGGCATAGAGAGGCTCTGAGAGAGGTGAGGAGGAATCCCCAAGCATGGAGAGAAGAGTGGCATGGAGTTCTGGGCCCCATGAGGACTTCTCAAGTGTTTAGGCCTTGGGTCTGCTGCCAGCGATCAGGATTTGAAAACATAGAGGCCCTGGGGAGATGCCCAATGGGGACAGAGGGCAGCCTGGAAAGGAGGTTGGTGGGGAAGCACTGAAGGGGAGTAGATCACATGAGGGGCCATGCCAGGAGTGCACTGTGGCCAAGAGGCAGAGGCAATAGAGGACAAGAGTTCTGAGGCCACATATCACATAATCTGTCCACACAGACCTTGGGCAGGGTCTAGGGTAGAGAAAGAGGAGAGATGTCAGTGATCAGTTGGGGGACTGTGGCAGCCTAGGATTATGATGGGGTTTGGGGCTGTCGGGGCTACCTGGCCTTAGGTTTCATATGGAATTGGGGGTGTGAAGCTGCTGCAGACCGGGGGCTGGAGCCCCACTCAGGTGTTTGATCTGGTAAGCTGCAGCAGGCAGGCACAGGGGTCATCTGGGTTCTTGTCCCCTGGCTGTCCAGGTGGGCTGTGGGGACTTTCACTTACAAGCTCACTCAGGCAGAAAATGGAGAAGCAGAAGACCCAAGAGCACAGAGGGGTAAATGCTTGTCTTAGTGAGGGTCTGGTCACCTAAGGAAAAATAAAATTCAGTTGAGTGTTCTCTGCTGAAGCTTAGGGAAACTGTATACTTTAAAAAGATGCTCCTCCGGAACGTGTAAGATGAAGTTTGGTGTGCCGAAGCTGTGAGCTGCGTTGTCCAATATGGAAGCCATGGGCCCCCTGGGGCTGGTGTGACTGAGACTCACTGCAAGTTTACACCTCAGATGGCCAGATGCCTAAGAACTGGCACAAAAAGAGAATACCTCACAAGTAATTTTTGTACCTATTACATGTTGAAATAGTAATATCGCATATTTTGGGTTAATTAAAAATACATTATTTTAGTTAATTTTGTTTCTTTTTACTTTTTTACGTGGCTACTAGAAAATGAAGGACACATGTGGCTCATATCGTGTATCTATTGGACAGCGCTGCTCCAGAACAATCACAACGACACTTGCCTGAAACACTGAGTCCAGGCATATGTACATGTGCAGGAGGGATCACACCTCCCAAGAAGCATAGGCTACATTAAGAGCTAAAAATGCATGTGTGCATGTCCCTGGTGCACATCAGTCCTTGTCATTCTATGTGTTATGTTTTCTGGAAGCACTGATTATGCCCCTCCTGTGTACTAGGCCAGAAGGGGCAGCAAGACTGGCTGATAGGTTAGACCTTGCGGCGGGCTGTCCAGTAGCAGTGATGGATGGTCCTGGCCACATACTCACCCTGGCCATCAGACCTTGCCAACCAGCTTGAGGATGTTGGGGCACCCACTGTGCTGCTTCAACCCCCCCCCCCCCGTTCTTTTCCTTCCTCACACAACACACATCCAGTGTCCATCTGGTCACTAATATTTGGCCTCAGCGGCCCCTCTGGCCCATTTGAGCACTGCCACCATGAAGGAGAAAGGCCGCTCCTGGGAACCATATGCGGGATGGGAGCAGCAGCCCACATTCAGGCTGTCAACCCTCGATCCCCCCACCCCTGCCAGGATTGCTTGCAGGGGATAGGGAGTCAGGACCACATGAGTCACACCAGATGTAAATGGCACAGTGGGTCCCACCGGGGTGGGCCAGCTCCCCAGCTGTAGGTGGTGTGTTTCGGGTTGCATTTGGGGTTTTGCTTCATCAGAGCAGTCAGGTTTTAGGAGTAGGAGGAGCACCAACTTTATAACACAATACGCCAGGCTTTTTAACGTTCAGTGATCGTCTTCAACTGTTTGAGGCCCCCTCAGGCACTGGGCCTGGGGACATGTCACCCCTCCTACCTTTGGCTCAGCCTTGCTCTCCAGATTCCACCTGACCCTAATTACCCCACCACAGGGAGCTAGGGCAGATAGGACCAGCTCCAGAAAGTCCCTTGCAAGGTGTAGGGGCGCATGGTGGAGTCAGGCTTAACAGAGCAGATCTATCCACTGACAGGCCCTGCACACCATTCTCCTGAGACCAAAGTGTCACTCTCCTTAACCTCCCCAGCTCTGTCTAAAATGAGGCCTGAGTGGGTCTCCCCACTAACAGTGAGAGCACATGATTACTGAAGGTTCTAAGAATTGCAGAGAGCTGGATAAATGGTCTACTTTCATTCTTAGATGATTTTCTTATGCCTTTTATGGCTCAACGTTACATTGGTGTCTTATTTCAAGGGATTATCAGCTTCAACAAGTTAAAGATGAACATTATTTGCTGTTTTCTCCTTTTCTCTCATACTTGAGCTTCCAGAAGGGCCCTGGTCACTATGCTGAGGGGGAGAGGAAATTCAGGTGTGTGCCATGCTGAAGAAAAGCTGCAGACTCAGGCCCACATCTGAGATCCACCCCCCGCTCTTGCCATTTCCTGTGGGTGAGCTGTGCTTGAGCTGTACTTCCAAGTCCTTCAGGAGGTGCCCTTAGCTGAGCTTGTGGGGCACCTAAGTACCCAGGGTTAGGCCAGCCTGGAGAGGGACATGGCCTCAGAGTGGGCACCAGCCTGTGGCAAGCTGCAAGGCAGTGGGCCTAATGCATCATAGGAGACTGGGTCCTTGCCCACTGACCAGTCAGTGGGAACCAGAGTATCAGCATTTGTAATAGGAAAAAGGAAATGTATAGTGACGCCTCTCTGCTTTGTGTCTGTCTTTTCTGTGAGTCACTGGTAGGCTGATTTGGCCCATCTCACCCCACCACATGCCCTCAGCCCTGGGTAACCCGTTGTTACATCTTTGTTGAATCCACTGTCTGCAAGCAACTGAGTGTGAAGCCTAGGGTGGCAAAGCAGGGGAAAATCTGAGTCCCAAGCGTGCCACCACTTTAATAACCCTTTCCAGCCTACTGAGCAGCAGAGTCCCCCTGTTCCGTAGAGGGGAGCTGTTCAGAAATGCTCTGAAGGAGGGCTGTCCTAAACTCTAGGAATCTTGGGGGGAGTGTCGTTGTACCAGAGAGCATGGAAAGCAAGTCTAACAACCTAGAGAAGCCATAGGCTGCAGTACACTGCATGTGCAGTTGCCTCCCCTTGTTCAGATGGCAGATAGTGAAACAGGAATGTCTTAAACATCCCCCTCAAGGAACCTCATGGTGTCTTTTCTCTCCAAAAACCTACCAGTCCCCAGGGCAGGCTATTTATTTGACTAAGAACTGACCTTGAGCTTGAGGGTCAAACACAGGACACATACCTCAGTCAGTCTGCAGGGTGGACTCTGCCAGACAGGAGCAGCGAAGAGCCCTGGCCAAGGGAAGCCCATGGGGAGGGACTGGGACCCAGTGGGCGAGCCTGCTCCCTGGGCATCTTTTATCCACTGTGGTGTCCTCTCAGTCTTATGAATGCTGTCAACACCCTGAGGTCCAAGTGTGGTTTCAGATTTTCCTGTCTTCAAAGAAAGAGGGCAAGGTAAGTAAATTCTAAGTCAAGGGCTATCTGCACCAGTGGTCTTCATCTGAATGTAACTACTTGTGGTCAGGGCAAGTCTCGTTGAGCAGTCAAGCCTTGACAGGAACTCAATAACAGGGTTGAACTTGAGAGCGAGAGGCTTAACCACCAAATGTTTGAAAAATACTTTCAGAGGTAGGCAGAGAAACGCCTGTGAGAAGGAGCTGCCGAAGTCCAAATCCAAAAGCCTGACTTCTGGGGGATCCCTGGGTGGCGCAGCGGTTTGGCGCCTGCCTTTGGCCCAGGGCGCGATCCTGGAGACCCCGGGATCGAATCCCACATCAGGCTCCTGGTGCATGGAGCCTGCTTCTCCCTCTGCCTATGTCTCTGCCTCTCTCTCTGTGACTATCATAAAAAAAAAATTAAAAAAAAAAAAAAAGAACAAAAGCCTGACTTCTGTTCTTGATGGATGTGCCTCCAGCAGTTCAGCTGTGGGTGATCTGGAGCGGGAGTGCTAGGGGAGGCAGGGAGGCAGCAGCCCTGCTGGTGAGCCTTCCAGCACTGCTGGTGGTCAACAGGGTCCTCACGCTTTCCAGGGCTGGAGTCAACCAGCTGAGCTTACCTTTCCCAAAATGGGCCTCTCGGACTCTCCTTATTGCTCCTTGCACTGCTTCTGTCCTAGGACGCACGCTTGAGGGCCTCCTGCACTCTGCTGAGGACTTCTCTTGGATATGCCATTTCCAGGCAGTCCTCAGCCTTGGAGCTTAAGGCTGACAGAGGGTTCCTGGCCGAAAGGTCAGACAGAGATGTACTAGACATAATATTCAAGGAACACAATGCAATAGATGTGATGACTGTGGATTTTGCCCTGGTTCCTAATGATTGTGTTCTGTGTCTGCTCAGGGAGAAACAAAGGCAGCGCGGCTCTGAGTGGAGGCCCAGCACTGGCAGAGCGCAGTGGCCGGGAAGGATCCAGCCAAAGGATGCCCCGACAACCCAGTGCTACCAGGCTGCCGAAGGGGGGCGGGCCGGGGAAGAGCCCCACTCGGAGTAGCACCTGACATGGGCAGACTTTTCGTGTGGCCCAGCTGTGGGCTTTGGCAGCCTCCTGATAGAGGCTACATGGGGTTCCCCCCAGTTGGTAATAAAGCTTTGTGGGAAACTGAGGGTCCATCTAAGCTGCTTGCTATCACCTTTTGAATATATTAAGACACAAAGATTTAGAATCAGTTCTGCATGGTGGGCCTTGCTGTGCTACAGTTGAACTAAGTGACTTAAGTGATTTCACCTTCCTGTACCTGATTTTCAGGTTGGAAAGACCGTATCTGTACAGTTGGCCCTTGAACAACACAAGGATTAGGGGCACCAATCCCCTGCATAGTTGAAAAATGAATGTAACTTTTGACTTCCCAAAGCGTACCTACCAATAGCCTACTGTTAACAGGAAGGCTTATCAATAGTTGATTAACATATTTTATGTATGTATGATATATTGTATTCTTAACATAAGAAGCTAGAAAAAAGAAAATCATAAGGAAAAGATATTTATACTGTAAAAAACCCACATACCTGCACCCTTCAAACTCATGTTCAAGGGTCAACTGTATTACCAGATCTTTTATAAACCTACAACACCATGTTTTGCTAAAGGAAAAGGGGAAAAAATAAATAAATAAATAAATAAAGGAAAAGGGGCAGTGCTTTTGCTGAGACTGTGCCCAGGGTGCTCATCTGCAAGGGTGTGAGCATGGAGGTAGAATGATGTCATATAGGTTATGTGCACAATGAAATCAAAGATGATGTGTGTTGTAACCTAGAGCTCACCCTGTGGGCTGTGAATGCCATGCAAAATTCAGTAAGACTCCTTTCCCCCTAAAAATGTCCTCGACCCTACACACTTCGCCCACAGTATTAGGGACTTGTCAACAACCCCCTTCCAATGTTCAAACTCCAGTCCCTGACTTACACATTAGTCACCATGTGCTGTCAACAGAAAAGCCTGAAAAATGACAAACCCTACTGAACATCTCACTCAGTTTACCTAGAATCTAGAAATTTTTTTGCTTTGAAATCTGTGTTTGGAAATCGTTTCCCTGCTTCTACAGTATAGCCTGGGACAGACTTCCACATGACCCGGCAGGCTTTGGGGTCCTACCTATCCCTGCAGGCACAGGAGTGTGTGTCCCAGCTGCACATCACAATAGAAAGGCTTCATATAGAAACTATGATTGTAAAAAAAAATAAAATAAAAAAAGTTAAAAAAAAAAAAGAAACTTTGATTGTAAATAACTGGAGACCAGCTGTGCTGCAGGGTAGCAGAAGGGGGGAGGGGGAGAGGAACGCATGCCAGCCCCACTCCCATTCAGTATTTTTCCCCTTTGCTCCTCCCCACTACTCCTGCTCACTTGCTTGCACTCCAAATAATGTTAAAAAAAAAAAAAAAAAGATTTAAAACAATGCCCCCCAAAACAAAGGCCTTGCTGAAAACTGAGCCTCTAGTAAGAGTTTGCACTAGGGCAGGGCTGCCTCCCTGGACCCTCCCACAAGACTGAGTCAAAGTGGCCATTCCACGATTTGGAAAAACAAACCAGGTTACAATTCCATTCTCCAAAGGAGCATCAAGAACTACTGAAAGATTTAAGAACAACCAAAGCAATTTTCCTAATACCCTCAGCCATGACTTTTGAAGCCTTCTTCTAGGATTAATGTGGTAACTAAACATACAGATATGCTTAATTTTTTTTCTGAAAGGAAACCTGTTTTTTCCTCCCTGGAAATCCACTTGGAAAAGACAGGGATCTGGATCAGAATTATGTCAAAGTGCAGGACAAGGTACACGATGCTTCAAACAGAAACTTTAATAGGTAAACCTATCTCGTAATGTTATAGTGAGGGCGATACAAAGAGATGGTTGCCAGCTCCGCTCCGGTCAGTATTCTTCCCCTTCTTCAGCCTCTGCTTCCACGGAATCCACGCCCACCTCTTCATAATCTTTCTCCAGGGCTGCCAGGTCCTCCCGGGCCTCGGAGAACTCCCCTTCCTCCATGCCTTCCCCCACATACCAGTGCACAAAGGCTCGCTTTGCATACATGAGGTCAAACTTATGGTCCAGGCGGGCCCAGGCCTCGGCGATGGCGGTAGTGTTGCTCAGCATGCACACGGCCCGCTGCACCTTGGCCAGGTCACCCCCGGGGACGACAGTGGGGGGCTGGTAGTTGATGCCCACCTGCCAGAGAAAAGGAAGAAAGCAGTCTGTGAAGCTTCAGTCAAACCCAGAAACGGTGTGCTTTCATGCAAACAGGAGACCTGCAGGGGCCTTCTTTGTGCCAGGCAGTGTCAGGCGAGCAGGGTGCTGGTTTCTAGACAAGGACAACAGGGAAAAAGGGGCCAGCCAGCCTGGCTCGGTTCCAAGCTGCCTGAAGGGCTGTGTCCCAGCCTCTGAGCCATGTGAGGTGCTCAGGTAACAGGATGGTTTCTTCTAAAAAGGAATAATGCTTTGTATGCCTTAGATGGCATTTTCTCCATAGGATTCTACAGACGAGGATTCGTTGCTGTAGCTGAAACCTCTTCTGCTCGAGTCACAGCACTATGGTTTTATTATGAGGGGAGATCATCCTCCCACCCCGGTCTCCCATTGAGAGAGCTAGCCTGTGAATCCAGGACAACAGGATTGCTGTCAGAGGTCTGAGGACTGCTGCTACCACTGCAACAGGAGGCGGCCTAGGTGTGCTAATAGGAGAAAGGGGGTGATAATCCAGGGCTGGGACCAAAGGAGAGGCATTCCAAATTTCTAAACCAGGGGACAGAGGTTTGAGTAGCAATACACAGGGTCACTTAGAACGTCAAGGGCAAGACAGTACATATTGTAGGCTGGCGGGGCCACATGGTCTCTGTCACAATTACTTCAGTCTTTGTAGCACAAAGCAGCCACAACAGCACATCAATGAACAGGTGTGGCTGTGTTCACATGAAATTTATGATGGAAAGCCTTGACAGGGCTTAGTATTTAAACTATGGACAAAGCTGCAAAGTGACATCAAGTTTCCTATCCCGTATCAAATGGAAGGTGGCTACAAACTATGCTGGAGGCAAACTCAGGTCAGACTTGCTAAGCTTACCAAAAGAGAAATAAATATGGCATCATTTTTTCCCAAAAACATGACAGTTTTTCTCTAAATCAAACATTGCATGCGATATTTAGATTGGGTTTAACTTCTATGTGCCAGTGGAATGAAGTGTTTAGCGACAGCAATGTTTGTATTAATGCCCCAATTTAAAATATCCACATAAATTCTCAAAATGCTTCCAAAATTTCTGCATTTCTAAACCCAAACTACATTTTCCACACAAATTAACCACCCAAAAGAGGGAAAAAAAATTGTTCTAAAAATTTCCTGTTTGAAGTTAAAAAAACTTCTCATCACATATATATAGTGTGATAACTAAGGAAGGAAGTTCAAAAGGCCCCACTGAATAAATTATCACTCGGGCTCAGATGACCAGGGGCTGGCTGCCATGGATCAGGGTTTTCTCCACAAAAGGCCTTCTGTACTTGGTCGGCTGCCCCTGACGGGAGAAACCTCACATCATCACCCAGTCCTACCTTAAATCCAGTCGGGCACCAATCCACAAACTGGATGGTGCGCTTGGTCTTGATGGTGGCGATGGCCGCGTTGACATCTTTCGGGACCACGTCCCCCCTGTACAACATGCAGCAGGCCATGTACTTGCCGTGCCGAGGGTCACACTTGACCATCTGGTTGGCCGGCTCGAAGCAGGCATTGGTGATCTCGGCCACGGACAACTGCTCGTGGTAGGCCTTCTCGGCTGAGATGACCGGGGCGTAGGTGGCCAGGGGGAAGTGGATGCGGGGGTATGGGACCAGGTTGGTCTGGAATTCTGTCAAGTCCACGTTCAGGGCCCCATCGAATCGCAGGGAGGCCGTGATGGAGGACACAATCTGCCCGATCAGACGATTGAGGTTGGTGTATGTGGGCCGCTCGATATCCAGGTTGCGCCGACATATGTCGTAGATGGCCTCGTTGTCCACCATGAAGGCACAGTCGGAATGCTCCAGGGTGGTGTGGGTGGTCAGGATGGAGTTGTAGGGCTCCACCACGGCCGTGGACACCTGGGGAGCCGGGTAGATGGCAAATTCCAGCTTGGACTTCTTGCCGTAGTCCACCGACAGCCGCTCCATGAGCAGAGACGCAAACCCAGAGCCGGTGCCTCCCCCGAAACTGTGGAAGATGAGGAAGCCCTGCAGCCCCGTGCACAGATCCGCCTGAGAGAAATCACAGACCGAGGGTCAGTGCCGCTGGGGTAGGAGCCGCACCGCCAGCCTCTGATGAGCCACAGTCTTTCCCTCTGCAGGACACCACGCATTCAAACTGTCCACAGGGCACCCGTGTGATGCTCAGAAGCAAAAAGCAGGGCAGACTTTAAGACGGATGGGTGACGGAGGAGGCACTAAAGCCACACGTGAAGGAAGACGTGGACTCGAGATTCCGGCCTGGGGTTTTGTCAGTCATCTCCTGGCCGCCATCCCTGCCCACCCTCCTGTCCAGGGCAACACCCACAAGAAGCTTCCTTAGCGCCCTCTTACCAGTTTCCGGATCCGGTCCAGGACCAGGTCGACGATCTCCTTGCCGATGGTGTAATGGCCTCTGGCGTAATTATTGGCTGCGTCCTCCTTCCCGGTGATCAGCTGCTCTGGGTGGAAGAGCTGCCTGTAGGTCCCCGTGCGCACTTCATCTGCAAAGAGGACACGTGGGCCGTCCGTCTTCAAGGCCTGTTGTTAACTCGCCAAGGGGGATAGATTCGGGGACGCTTTGGATCTACCAAGCACATGCTGTTCCTTGGGGGGCAGCAGCATCAGGGTCTCATAGAAAATGTCTGTGCAACATGCAGACCACAGCTGCGATCTATGGCTCTAGTAGGTCACATCAACTGGAGATACCAAGTCCAATCTGACTGGTCCCCAAAGAAGGGAAACCACTCACACCCTCACCCATGGAATTATTTCTTCAGATCTGGAGCTACATCCAAGAGTCTAACTAAAAAATCCCTTACATCCTGGACAGTCACCAGGTCAGCATGACTTTGCCAGGCAGTCCCATTGAGGTACCCTACGTGGCCTGTGCCTCACAGACTTCAGGGTGACACT